CATGGCTCAGAGCGAGCTACATGGTGTGCCACAGTCACAGCCAGAGCCTGGTGGCAGCGAGCTGGGCATAATGCACACTTCCCTGGAGATGGCTGGGCTGGGTGAACCAGGCTCAGGAGGGAGAGGGATGGCTGGGCTGGGTGAAGGCTCAGCAGGGAGAGGGATGGCTGGGCTGGGTGAAGGCAGGCAGGCCCTGCCAGGGCTGCCAGCACTGCTCAGACTAAACCAAAGCGATTCCAGCGCCAGCAGCACATTGCAGCTACCCAAACTCTGTTGGCTGCTAACACGCATGCAGCTCACTGCTATTTATATCACATGCCATATATAAAAAATATGCTACCTCTGAGGACAGCTTCACCACGACACTGGGACGGGGATGGGGGAGGTGAGGGAGGAGAGGGGCTGCCTGCAGCAGACTCACTCCCGCCCAGCCCACGCTGCGATGATGCCGCAGGGAATTTTGCCCGTTGAGCTCAATGGTGCGAGAACATTCCCCTTGGCAAACCAAGGGCTGTCGTTCTCTTGGCGTTCGTGCAGCTCAGGGTCAGCAGGGCGAGCGGCTGATGCTGTGCTTTAACATGTCTGGAGATGCACAGGCTGCTCGTGACAGGGGAGAGCTGAACAAAGAACACTGCTCCCTGCAGCCCAGCAGCTTCACGGGACATGACAGCAGGGTGACCCATCCCTGGCGCCTGTACCTGTCACCACAATAAACACCTGAGCCTGCTGGGTATTGACATCCTCACGTTAACACTGCAGTTGCTTCACTTTCCCTCATCTCCAACAAAGCCCAGGCAAAGCTCCAGCCGTTCCACCACGCCCCGAGCCCAGCCTGGCAGCGGTGGGGCCTCGCTGCCTCTCAGGGCCTTTCTCTAAACACAGGGTATACACAGATCTACAGAATGGACAGCAGGGAATCCCGGCACAGCTGAGGGCAGAAATGTGGCCTTGACATAAATATGCCAATTAGTGAAAATGCAGTCACTGTAACAGCTTCCTTTTCCCACAGCTGGGGTCAGGGGAGCTGCCTGAGGCTCAGGGGACACGCCGTACGCAACAGGGTCTGCCCACGTCCCAGGGCCTGTTTCACGTAGACATACAATGGAATGGGCATGCAGAACGAGCTACACCTCACCCCGGGGAGCCCTCCAAGTTCTCCACACGCCCCCAGGCCAAATGGAGCTTTAAAGCACTCCCTCTGCTCTTCCTCTTGGGGGCAAAGCTGCCATCACAGGAAGCTGTTGTGTTTATTCTGTTCCAGGGCCATCTCGCTGACCAGCTGCTCTATGGATGACTGGATGGCTGCCTTCACCAGGGATGAGGCAGTTTCTATGAGGAGCAACTCGTACTGCTCCCCAGTTCTGTGCCCCTGCTCACCCAGACCTTTTACCTCCGCCTGGGGACTGCCGCCAGCCTCGGGGCCCTCTTTTTTACCAGCATCGGCATTCTTGCTGGATTTTTTGTTTCCTTTTTGCTTATTTTGCTGCAAAACTGGGGACGGCTCATAGGCCTGGTCCGAGTCGGTGTTGTCGGAGTCCTCAGCCTCAGTGATGGTGATGATGATGCCGATGCCGGTTCCCGCACTGGCTTCTCTTGGCCCCTGATGGCTGGAGCATCCCTGCACACTCGCTGCAGCTCCTCCAGGTGCCTCCTCGCTGAGCCCCAGCACAGCCTCCTCGGGAAGGTCTGGGCTCTTTCCTGAGTCGGGCAGCTCCTTGCAGACAGTAGGGATTTCCTGCAGCTCAGCAGTTCCAGGGGCACTGCCAGGTTTGTCCGGGGATACAGACACTTCAGGAACAACTTCCCCCCCCTCCACATGGTCCACGGTTGGGGGTAGGCTCCCCTGCTGCAGCTTGTCCTGGGCTGTTTCACTAGCTGTCGCTGAATCGGTTATCTCCAACTGAACAGTGCACTCAGTATGTTCCTCTGCATCAGGTGTGGGCTCTGTCAAGGGCGCCCTCTTCCCAATAGAGCTGTCACTTTCCTTCACTGCAACCTGGTCCTCCTTCGCTGTAACCTGGTCTTCCTTCACTGTATCCTCGTCCTCCTTCACTCTATCCTGGTCCTCCTTCACTCTATCCTGGTCCTCCACTGTAACCTGGTCCTCCTTCACTCTATCCTGGTCCTCCACTGTAACCTGGTCCTCCTTCACTCTATCCTGGTCCTCCACTGTAACCTGGTCCTCCTTCACTCTATCCTGGTCCTCCACTGTAACCTGGTCCTCCTTCACTCTATCCTGGTCCTCCTTCGCTGTAACCTGGTCCTCCTTCGCTGTAACCTGGTCCTCCTTCGCTGTAACCTGGTCCTCCTTCGCTGTAACCTGGTCCTCCTTCGCTGTAACCTGGTCCTCCTTCGCTGTAACCTGGTCCTCCTTCGCTGTAACCTGGTCCTCCTTCGCTGTAACCTGGTCCTCCTTCGCTGTAACCTGGTCCTCCTTCGCTGTAACCTGGTCCTCCTTCGCTGTAACCTGGTCCTCCTTCGCTGTAACCTGGTCCTCCTTCGCTGTAACCTGGTCCTCCTTCGCTGTAACCTGGTCCTCCTTCGCTGTAACCTGGTCCTCCTTCGCTGTAACCTGGTCCTCCTTCGCTGTAACCTGGTCCTCCTTCGCTGTAACCTGGTCCTCCTTCGCTGTAACCTGGTCCTCCTTCGCTGTAACCTGGTCCTCCTTCGCTGTAACCTGGTCCTCCTTCGCTGTAACCTGGTCCTCCTTCGCTGTAACCTGGTCCTCCTTCGCTGTAACCTGGTCCTCCTTCGCTGTAACCTGGTCCTCCTTCGCTGTAACCTGGTCCTCCTTCGCTGTAACCTGGTCCTCCTTCGCTGTAACCTGGTCCTCCTTCGCTGTAACCTGGTCCTCCTTCGCTGTAACCTGGTCCTCCTTCGCTGTAACCTGGTCCTCCTTCGCTGTAACCTGGTCCTCCTTCGCTGTAACCTGGTCCTCCTTCGCTGTAACCTGGTCCTCCTTCGCTGTAACCTGGTCCTCCTTCGCTGTAACCTGGTCCTCCTTTGCTGTAACCTGGTCCTCCTTTACCCTATCCTGGTCCTCCTTCACTCTATCCTGGTCCTCCTTCACTCTATCCTGGTCCTCCTTCACTGTAACATGGTCCTCTTCTGCAGAGACTGGGCTGAAGGATTCAGGCTTTTCTGTTGGGGCTAACTCCTCCAGCTTCTCACTAGCTTTATTCAAAACACCCACCACTTCATTTGCTTGAACACTGTCCTCCGATTCCTCCACTGCTTCCGAGGGGCTGGACCTTTTCCTGCCTCTGGAGAACCGTACGCAGGGCATCTTTACCCCTGAGCTCACCCGTTTCTTCAGGACACCTTGTGCACAGCTCTCCTCAGCATCCACCTCCAGCTGCACCTGAGAATCGGAGGGCACCTTCATCCGCGAGGAGGATTTCTGCCTTCTCCGAGGTCTTGTGAGGTTTTTGATGGCTGTCCAGGCCCCTTTGGAGGGCCGTGATGGATTGGAAACATTTGCCTCCCCTTGGCTGGCACTGACACATTGGCTTTTCTCCTCCGAGGCCCCTTCACGTGGATCCTTCACGGTCAGCCCTTTCTTGCAGGGCTTCTTCCGCTTCTTGAAACAGAGCATGGAGGGCTTTTCTGCTTGTTCTTCCGACGGGGAGCACGTGGCTCCTGTGCTGGGAGTCTCTGCCTCTCTTGGGTTCTCCATCTGAATTTCCTTAGCTACCTTCACCATATTCACTCCTCTCCTTTGTTTTGTTGTATTACCAATTCCCTTGATCAGTGTCTCAGTCACAAGAGCTGCAGAAATGCTCAAAGTTCATCTTTTCCCCAAATAGTTTCTAAGTAACGTTAGTTGCTCTTTAACAAGTGGATGTAGCAGTGAAAAGAAGCTCTGCTGAAGCTATCACGTCTGCTTTATAACTCCCACTTCGTCTTATTACTCACTTTATCACCTCTCCGAGGAATCCTAAGTAGATGTGGAGCTGAACAGGCTTCTCCTTGGCTTTGCTGGCCACAGTCACTTTCATCTCCGGATCAAGCCGCTTCCAGTCGCACTTGGTCTAACAGCAGTGACTGTGTGATGGCCAGTCTGACATACCTCTTTTTGCCCACAAAGGATGACAAATCAAGCCAAGAGTTAACAATTTTTATTCACACCACAGATCTGGAAAGGACTTGCACTTTGTGAGCTATCTGCAGTTCCACATTGCACAGGAAACTTGATTGAAGTACCAGTGGAACCAGCGGCTGTTTTCTGCCCCCCAGTGACAAGGTCAGATCCTGCTTTGCCTGAGCTTTGCTTTCTGCTTCAGTTCCCTTTGCAGGTTATGTGAAGTTTGCAGTGAAGCATGAGAGAGGCTTCCATTCTTTATCTGGAACACAACACACAAGTGCTAAGACCTGTAGAACAATTAAAAAAAGGTATGATATTTTTTCCTTAAATGTTTAATTTTGGGAGGCAGACCAGGGCTGGACGCACTACAGCAGTTTTCTCCACTAGTTAGCATCAATATCCAAAGGCAAAACAAGACCACAAGATGTCAAACCAGTGATGTTCCAACACAGAAAGTACAATCTTGCCATTCAATGTGTTGAAAGGGGACTTTTTTAATGTAACGACCCATGTTATGGCGAATGCACGTTACACATGCACACACAGATATTTTC